GCTCATTTCTCATATTACAAATTTAGGAAGATTTCTTGCCTTTGAAGGAGCTTTAGCTTTAAGTACATGCTTTTAATTGATGAACGACCTCTTTGCACAACTAGAGGTGAGGTTTTTCTAGAGATGAGAGTTCTTTGAGTGCCTTATAGGTTTTATTTCTTCCTTCTTTTAGAGAGAAAGTCCTCAAGGTGATTTCTCTATATTTTCTTATTATTTTTTCGAGGGTTTTGTAAGACAGGGATTAAAACTATTGTGAGAGAGATTATTCCGTGATCGTGTTCATTGTAAGGTAATGATTACTACTTTGGAGGATAGGAAAAACTGATTGTAAGATTTACTTTCATATATATATATATATATATATATATATATTGTTTAACAAATATATACGGTTTCAATGACTCATTTTTGATTTTTTGCTCTCATGACTCACAACTAGACTTCTTTCGTGGTTCTATGATGTTAGGATATGTGTTTTTTTGTGGTTTTTTCTACATGTGATTTCCCCGTATCATTTTCTGCACTTTTTTATGTATCCAAGTAGTTAGGTTAACTTTTTGAATGTTATTTACTCCTGATCTAGCCCATTGGAATGTTAAAATTATTTTTGATATTGGAATTCTACCTATTTCCTAGTAGAAGAAATAAGTTAACTCACAAAAATCTGGTGAAATAAACATATTGTCATTAGGGTTTTGTAACCTAGATAGGGAATATGAAAAAATCCGAAGAAAAGATGCATGGTTAAACATAACTTAAATGTAAAATGATTTCTGATTCTTCTTATTACCTGAGCATATGCTTAGAAGAACTGTTATCCCTGCTTAACAACTATCATGTTGGGGAATGATTGAGAAATTCACAAAAATACACTACACATGTATCCATTTACCATCTTAAATCCCCCCAACATAGTGGCCCTGGTGTTTCTTGATCTCGCTTTATGTTTTATTTTCTGATTTACATAAGATTATATGATTTGAACCTTGCAATTGTGATCACATCAAACTAGATTTAGTAAGTTAGTAGCCTAGAAATTCACCTATTGGAATTGATCTTAACTCTTTCCTCGTGGGATCGACACACTAAAAAAAACCACATATTACTTTACACGTATGCTTGTGTGGTTGGCCACTTTTCTCTTAAAGACTATTTTGGTCATCATTACATCATTTGGGTAGCTATCACAAATATCAAATATCAAACCCACAAAATAAATAAGCAAAACATAATAAATATGTAAACATTTGTGAAAATGTATATAAGATGAGTAGTGCTATAAAATGAGTAAGTAGGATTAAACATAATAAAAAATAAAACATTAAAAAAATACATCATAAGCAAGTTTGAAGATAAGTAATGGAATCTTATAAGTGTATCATCAAACAAGTGCCTAATATTATAATATTATATGATAAAGTAAACGAGCGATTGGATATAAGGTATAATATAAATAAGTAGCTCAAAATTAAAAGCCAAATTAGTCAATTCAAGAAACACCAATAAATCTTCACCACCATAAAACAATAAACATTTTCTGTGCTATAAAAATTCATAAAAAATTAGGTTTTGGGTAAATTTCTAAAAGAAAATTTGTTTTAGTAAAACTCATAATATAAATATTTTTTGGATTAACCAAAGCTCATAAAAAATGAAGTGATTTGAAATGAAGAACTATTCACTAAAAAAAATTAATGATAAAATCTAAAAGTAAGTTAGTAAAGAAAAATTTGATGATAAAACTTTTAAAGAAATTTTTATACTAAATTTAAAAACTAAAATTAAATATTATAATCATTCATGAATTACTTATATTTTCTTAAATATATTTTGAATCACATTCACCCAATCATACTAACAATTTAAAAACACAACACTTATAATGGAGAGAATATACGAGGCCTATAACATTGCTCTTCTTTATGTAATATATTGTGAACAGAAAATAATGGTTTAAGACATGCTAGAATTAGTTTAAATAACATGTATCTTCATCTTAACATGTAATAAAATAGTAATATAGCATGAGTTGTTAAATTAGTTTAAATAACATTATGATATAATCACTTTCACCCAATTTTAACACATCTTTTGACATGGTCCTAAACTCAGCCTTTAGCCCTGGATTGATTATTTGATTTAAATATTTAATTTAATATATGGTTGATAGAATGTAGATCTATTTATGTAAGTGAAATTTTAAGGATTGGATTTTAAGGATTTTTTATGGATCAAGAGAAATAGTTGAAGGAGATCTAATTCTTTGAAATAAATAATAATTTTATACTATATGAAAAGGAAAAAAATATTGAAATATAGTAAGAGAATTGTTGT